GCCAACATCCAACTCAACAAGAGCAACATGGCAGCCACCGCCGCTTTCAACAAGGATGCCCTCTTGAATTGGCTGAAATCCAAAAATCCTGGGTATGTTCTAAGGAGGCCCTCTTTAGTACATCCCCCATGCCTTCCAGATAGGCTGGGACTACAACTCCCAAAAAATCTCAGCTAGCATGGCCAATGCCGGAATGGAGACTCAGATCTTGAGGCTTAGAATAAAAAGGTGGTCCTCAAAGCCTAAACGAACTGTGGCTTGAGAAGACTATGAAGATGAGACTGGGTGGATGAAGGTTACTCAACAAAAGGTCCCTGTCCCTTGTCAATTGTCTACTCAACTCATCTAGCTGTAAGGAGTAGAAGGGTAGATCTTATGGAAAATGGACATGCTTCTGACTGGCTGGTCTCAAGCACCCAGATCCTCAATGACTCTAAGTAGATCTTCTCATGATGTTTCTGAGGTCTTCAGATACTTAACTAAATGAATTGTCTTTCTTAAAAATTTGAGGACAGCACAGCTTAAAACGGATTTAAGCGAGGAAGAGAAACATCATCTTGTGGGGATAGGAATTTGATCTTGGTTTTTTTGGGGCTGTGGCTGCTTTGAAAGGGCACCACTGGGTGAGTTTTTATGCTGCCTCGCAAGGGGCGAGTCGGCGTTCCTTCAGCAGCTTGTTCTCCTCTCTTGTGTAGTGATGCTCTGGAGCAAGCCATTGAGGAATTCACCCTTTCATGTGCTGGATATTGTGTTGCTACATACGTGTTGGGGATTGGAGACCGTCACAGCGACAACATCATGGTGCGAGAAAATGGCCAGGTACTTTGGGGATCATAACAACTGAGCTGCCTCGTCAATTCCCTTTTTATTCCATAAAAGAAGCTAGGTTAGATTAATGGATATAATAGATTATTATTTTGCAATCCAAAAATTCAACGAGCTGGTTAATTACTGTCTTAAGTTGTGCAGTTTATTCATATTGCGACGCCCAGCATTGTAAATCGCCTTGCTTTGTTTCTAAATATTACATACAGTTTTGATTCGGAGATCTTTTATACACCTGCTGCTTTTTTAAAAAAATAAATAAAACCGCTGCTGGATTTGCAACTGAGAATTTGAACTTTTTTTTCACTTCCTTCCCTTCAACATCCCGCTGCAGTTGTTCCATATTGATTTCGGCCATTTTCTGGGAAACTTCAAGACCAAATTTGGGATCAACCGCGAGCGGGTCCCTTTCATTCTGACCTACGACTTTGTCCACGTGATCCAGCAGGGGAAAACCAGCAACAGCGAGAAGTTTGAACGGTAAGCGTGGGATGGAGCCTTGTTGGTTTCAACCAGGGCTCCTCACCTCTGCAGTGGTCTGTGTATATTTTAGCCATTTAGTGTGGGTGTAATATTATTTATCCTTCTTATGGTCTTCTTTATTCTCCCCTTTTATTGGTACGATGAGTATTCTGTTGCTTTGCAGAGTGCTTCTGTACCGGACACAAATTCCTTGTGTGTCGAATCAGACTTTGGCCAAATAAAGTTCAGTTCCATTCAACTTACAGCTGGCAGTTTATCTCCCAAATCTTTCTCAGCCTGGGAAGCAACGTTTAACACCTCCCACCCCATTTGTCCTTTTTCCTTCTCAGATTCAGAGACTACTGTGAAACGGCTTACATGATCCTCCGAGGCCACGGCCTTCTCTTCTTACATCTTTTCTCCTTGATGAAAGCTGCTGGCTTGCCAGAGTTGAGTTGCTCTAAGGACATCCAGTATCTCAAGGTGAGGAGATGTTTTTGAGTGGGTTCGCAACCACAGCTTCCAGATTTGGGCTGGACCGTGAAGTCCATCGCGAGAATCCATGGACACCACGAAGATGGAGGGAGCATCTCATGGTTTGGGAACATTCTAGGGTCAGGGGTCTTCAAACTTGGCCCTTTGATGACTTGTGGACTTCAACTCCCAGAATTCCTCGGCCAGCGTGCACGCTGGCTGAGGAATTCTGGGAGTTGAAGTCCACAAGTCATCAAAGGGCCACGTTTGAAGACCCCTGAGCTAGAATATAAAGAGACACCTTGGAGGACATCTAGCCCAACTCCTTGCTCAAACAGGAGAGTCTATACCAGGGGTCTTCAAACTGGGCCCTTTTATGACTTGTGGACTTCAACTCCCAGAATTCCTCAGCTGAGGAATTCTGGGAGTTGAAGTCCACAAGTCATCACAGGGCCAAGTTTGAAGACCCCTGTTCTAGGTGGATGCAAACACCCAAAACAGGTTGTAGATGGAAATATGCAGCCATCTCTCACTCTTTGAATTGCATGTACTGGTGGTCCTCAACTTATGAATACAACGGAGCCCCCAAATTGTTGTTAAACAAGACTGCTGTTCAGAGCTTTTTTTCCCTAAGTTCACATTTATACCTTTCAGGACTCGTTGGCACTGGGGAAGACGGACGACGAGGCCCGGAAGCAATTCCAGCTTAAATTCAATGAGGCCCTGCGGGAGAGCTGGAAGACCAAAGTCAACTGGCTGGCCCATAACGTCTCCAAGGATAACCGTCAGTAGGGGACCCTTGTCTCCCCCACTCCCAAGAGTCTTCCTTCCCAGCTCTCAGGATGGAGCAGCTGGGCCTTCCACACCTTGCATGAAACAGGCTGGACCGTTTTAAGCTGCCCAGATGTGGAAGCTTGTATTGCAAGATGTCCTGCTTGGAAAGTCCCTGGAGATAAGTCCTCTGCCAAGCGGGTGATGGCCTGGGGCAAGGATGAGGAACAGTGGCACCATTGGGGCAACTGCGCGGTTTGATGATGTGCATATATGTGTTATATGTGGGTGTGTGTGTATGTGTGTGAGATTCGTATTTTATACTGCTCAGAGGTACTTGACTCACTCACTGGTTGAGCTGAGGAAGTTGTAAGTTTTCGAGGGCTCCGGTGATCCCTCCAAAGAGCTGGCCTCTTTATGAAGAGATGGGACTTTCTCACGAAACATGTTGGTTTTTGCACAAAACGTCGAATCCCAAATTCCGGGTCTTGCGAGGCCAGGAACGGTCTTTTGAAAGAGGAGCCCTTGGTTGAGAAGTGAAGTTTTTGGCAGGAGGTGGATGGTTGAGGATAACACTCATCCTGGTTTGTCGGATGCAGAAATGTCCTTACGAACTTTCAGTTACCTCTCTCGTCCAAAGCTACAGATTACATTGTCTTTATAAAAAAAAAAAAACCCAAAAGAATAAACAAACCTGGCCCCTTACCGATAACCCTTTCCTTTTTTTTTAAAAGCCAGCTTTTCAATAAATTCACATTTGTTTTTACCAGTTAACTTTGGACAATGTTTGTTTCTGCTGGGGTTTATTTCCCAAGAATTCCAAAGCCTGAGATTAGTCAACTAGTCCTTTTTATTAGCGTCGAGATGTCAAATGGGAAGGAAATGCGGAAAGTAGAGCCTCTTCTACCAGATACACTTTTTCCAGATGCTGAGGCTGGATCTACGTGGAAGCAGGAAAACCATCTGCCACCTTTGCATCGGTTCACACAACACGCCAAGCCATGATTTTGGGTGTGAATGCGGTTGTTGGGGAGTTCTCAACTTATCAAGGGAAGATTTCTCTTATTAGTGCAAGAAAAGTTAAAAAATAAAAAATAAAAACCGACAGTCGAAAAAGCAACAGGGAAGGAAAAAATGGGAAAACCAGAAAAAACAAGGCCCTGATATAAAGCTTTGGGGGTGGGGGGTGTTGTTTTTTTCTTGTACCAATTTTTTTTTATGATGGTGGGGTGAAAGGATATTAATTGGAACAAACCTTGGAACAAGGAGGAAAACTTTATTTTAAAGTTTAAATAAGAGATAGACTGGCAATTATTTGAGTACGACTTAGAACTTAGAACTAAGGAGAAACTTCCTGACAGTTAGAACAATTAACCAGTGGAACAACCTGCCTCCAGAAGCGGTGAATGCTCCAACACTGGAAGTTTTTAAGAAGAGACTGGANCTTGGATCACTCTTCAAACGTTATCTGGAATGTTGATGCGATAAGCTTTAGAGGAAGGAAGAGCCACATCTGTTCGGGGTGAACAAAAGACCCCCCCCTCCCACTTTCCCCCCCTCCCCCCAATAAAAATAAAAATAAGCTAACATTTCAAGTTAGTGTTGTTGTAGCTACAGGAATGAATAGGAGTGTGTGTGTGTTTGTTTTTTTTTAAAAAGAGGAATGACGCGAAAACAGAAACCTCCCTCAGCAGCTGAGGTAAATTTGGACCGCAGAACTTTCTGGATCTGGCCTGCATTTGGCTCAACTCCTGAGAAGTAGTGTAGTGTAAACCCAAAGAGGAACCAGGTTTAAAGGGCGGGCTGGGCTCCTGGGTGCAATCTGCTTTCAAAAAATAAAAATAAAATAAAAATAAAAATAACAACAGGAGCTAAAGCCACATAAGCCTCCGAGGATACGAACGGAGTTGGGTCCGAAGGTGGCCAGAGAAGGTGCCTTTATAAGTGTTAAAAGCCACCTTCCTTTTTTCTTTTTCTTTTTCCCTTCGGAAAGAAAAAAATATATATATTTATTTTATTTGTTTTTAAAAAGGGACGAAGAACCCATCCACAGACCTCGTATGAAATTTGCAGTCGAGTCCCATCGCCTCCAGTCGTCGTTTCATTTCTCTGCACTACTTTAAAACCTGTCCTTAGGAATTCTGGAAAAAAACCAAACCTTAAATCGCTGCTTATGTCATGCTTCGTGATTGATTCTTCATCGTCATCGTGGGTTTTTTTTAAAAAAAACCTCAGCGCGGTCGTCTCCCTCCCCTCCCCTCCCTAGCCCAGCCATGTTTTTCACTACCACAAGTGACATAATTACATAGTTCCGACGTATTTACAAAATATTAAAAAGTCTGTTAAGTCTCCTACATATTGGACCCCGTCCTGCCATTTTACACATGCAACTAGAGGTTGGGAAGGAGAGGGGAGAAAAAGAGAGAGAGAGTTGGAAAACCGTCGCGAGGAGGAGAACCCGGGACAACCGAAAATCAGCTAAAAATCAAACCAAGGGTGGGGTGTTTTTTGTGTGTGTTTTTGTTTTTTAAGAAAAAGACTAAATTAAAACAAAAAAAAAAAGTTAGCTCTCAAGTCAACGAACGAGCGGGGAGGGGGTGTTTTCTGGCTTTCGCCCCCTCGCGTCCCGGAAAAGGAGGTGCAAAGGGAGGGGGGAGGAGGAGGAGGAGGAAGTGGGCAGCCCCAGGCTGAAAAATTTAAAAAATATATATTTAAAGTTAAAAAAAAAAGTCTAAAGGGGAGAAAAAGCGGAAGGGGAAAAGCATTAGCGCTGGGCATGTTTTGAGAAGGGTTGAGAAGACGCGCCTTCCCCGCGGATCATTAAAGCAGCCTCCTCAGCAAGCCGGGAGAAAAACAACAGGGCGGCTGCTTTAAGAGCCACCCGTATTTGGAAATGGGGAAGGGCCCTGGAGGGAGATGACCGGGAGCAGAAGAAAGCACAAGGCAAGGCCTTGCAAGTTTAAAAATAAAATAAAATAGGAAAACCAGCAGAATCCAGTCACTGGAGGTGGGGGGTGGGGAGGGCAACCGAAAGAGGAGAGGTGCTAGCTACATTTCTACAGGCAGGGAATTGGGAACGGATATGCCCGACACACGAAGGGGAGAGGGTTGGGAGGGAAGGGAGACTGGCCAACGTTTTGGGGGGCCGGGCGGCTGTCGGGCCCCCCTTCGGGGGAACTCTGAAAGGAAGGGAAGGGGTCTGTCCTGGCGTCCTCTGGATCAAGAGAACGAAACGAAAAAGGCGAGCAGGGAGCGTGGGAGGGGGGGCTCAGTAGGGCAGGGTCGAGTCATCCCACTCCAACTGCTGCTGCCGGTTGGCGTGCTGGGGGTCCTCCTCCTGCTCGCCCCCCTCCTCCTCCTCCTCGCTGCTCTCCGATTCGGCGCTGGTGATGTCGTCTTCCTCGCCCCCGTCTTCGCTTTCTTCCTCCTCCTCCTCTTCCTCCTCGCTGCTGTGCTGGTCCTCGTAGGTCTGGGAAACGGAGAAACAGTTAAGTCTCTCGAAGGGGTCTCCTGATCGGGGGGGCACCTTAAGAGAGAACCCCAGGGGGACGTTCGCCTTCTCTCTAGTCCCATCCTGAGATTCAAGTCTCATCGGAGAGCGATTCTCAAGAGCTAGGGGGAGAACAGAAAAGACTGCGGGAGAAAGAGCGGAAAGAGCACCACTAAGAGATATTTTGGGTGAAAGGGGGTGGTGTGCGTGTCGTGGAAACTGTCAAATAGGCTTAATGCTGCTTTTTAACACAAAGGCCCCCGAGCTCACCTCAAAAAGGTGGGACTGAAATCCCGGGCCCACCCACGACAGCCCCAATAAACACAACTCAAAGTTGTAATGAGAGTTATCGAGCCGAGGTCTCAACCCAGAGGCCTTACCTCCATGGGGTTCACCGTGATGGTCAAGGCAGAATCGTCCCAGTCCATCTCGTTCTCCTTCCCGGAGTCCTGGTCCCGCATCGTCCGCTGGTGGGCCGCTCGGATCCGGAAGACCCCCAGGATGATCATGAAAACCAGGAAGCTGATGCACACCACGATCACCACTGTGGCGGTGCTGGGAACCACTGGGGACCAGAATGTTCAGAAGAGGTTAGTCAGGTTTAACTGGAGGACGGGAAGCACAGCAATGCATTTTTTTTTTTAACCTGTTCTGGGGAAGGGTAGTTTGAGGCAACGGATCTGGGGGAGCAGATTTTACAGGGGTGTTAGCAGAGCAGCAGAACGGGCTAACTCACATACCGGGGATCTAGTTCCCAGCTGGTATATTTACACAGAAGTCCAAATGTCAACGCTGCAAATACTGTATATTCTTGCTTTGACAATATGCAGAGCTGTCTGGCATTCTTATAGTTAAACCAGGCAGAAGGGGAAAAGAAACCGGATGTAAATCACATCTTCCAAGTTGATTGGAAGATGTGAACCGTGACCCCCAAAAAGGGTGGGAGGGAAATGTTTAGAATTACATGCATAGCGGAAAAGGAACCAGTCCTAAGCATTCCACCATGCCGTGCTGATGTACTAATCTTAAAATAAATGCTTTTAGGAGAAAAAATGCCTGAAAGTCCTTTTAAGTGTTTCGTTACTCAGACACATGACATTATGCTTAGGACTGGTTCCTTTTCCGCTATGCATGTAATTCTAAACATTTCCCTCCCACCCTTTTTTGGGGTCATGGTTCACATCTTCCAATCAATTTGTCCTTAAGACACATGACACAAACACTTCACAAAAGGGGCGTTGTCTTACCTGAACGCCTTTTCTCAGCACGGAGATGGAGGATCCACAGAATGGGTGGAGACTGTATTCCTGCCCAATCAGATCAAGTCAGCCAAAGTTGTCACGCCCCGTCCTGGTTCCATTTTCCAGTCTTGACGCGAGCGTAGCCATTGACTGACCAAGAACGTACTGGCTCACAAACTAATCC